ATACATTAGAATAAGGTAGCGATGTTAAGATCCTAAAGAATACTTTCGCAACCTTTAAAATACGAAACAGCCATTAGACAAGCAGATTCGCTAGGCCCATTAATATTGAATCTGATAATGAACGAAATTATAAAAAAAGTAAAAAAATAAAAATAATATAAAATAGCAGAAAAGGAAATACACATAATATATGTTACGTCAACGACGCCATATTAATATCGGAGAATGAAGATAACCTACAAAGATAAATTAAACCGTTTGATAGTGATGTCAGCGCAACCAAGTGGATGTCAATTAATTGTAAGCAACAAAACAATAAAACACAAGAAAGTGGAATACAAAGTACAAAATAAAAAAAAAGTTCGACTATGGCGAACATAGCAGCAGAATGTCTAAATAACACAATGCATAAAAAAAATTCGTCACGATGGAACAAAAACTGGGGCATCTAATTTAACAATCAGGCAAATAATGACGTAGACAGAGGAGACAATGGTGGACGCGGCCAAAAAACAAAAATGATTAGATATAGCAGAATGAAAATGAAAAATTATAAAACAAACGCTAAGAGTTAAAGTAAGAAACATGGAAATAAGAGCAAGATGTGGAATACAGGAAATAGACCTATACACAAAAAAAATAAAATCAATATATAGAAAGAATGACAAACAACAGTGGCCGTAATGATCATTAATAAAAAACCTGCATAAACTTCCAAAATACAATTAAAGATACACTGTTAGACAGATTGGAAAAATATGCTATTTGGGTTGCAATATTAAGGATACTTGGGATCACAGCCATGAAATAAAAACTCGTATTTAAAAAGCCAGAAGCTCTTTTAACAGCCTTAGAAAGATTATCTGCAACTTACATTTAAGTATCAATAAACGCATAAGAATTCTAAGATGTTACGTCTTTATTGTCCTTCTCTATGAACTAGAAAGTTGGGGCCTTACAGAAGATGCCATAAAACGATTGGAGGCATTTGAAATGTGATGCTACCGATGTATGTTGAAGGTCTTATATGTACACGATACAAGTAACATAACTCTTCTACAAAAGCCAACAAAATACAAAAAAATTATTAACACTATAAAAACCAAAAAATTTGCTACTCTGGCTACATCATGAGTAATAATAAATACCGACTTCTACAGTTGATTCTACAGGGCAAGATTGAGGGTAAGAGAACCCCTGGACGTAGAAGTATATCCTGGCTGACCAGTCTAAGAAAATGGTATGGTCTAACGTCAACTGATCTGTTTTGAGCTGCTATGAGAATAAGATGGGTCAATGTGGTCGCCAACATCTCTAGAAGATAGGCACATTTAGAAGAAGACAAGAAACAGAAAGTAGGTCAGATCGGCAACCAAAAACCACCTACACACGTCCCGACATATCCACCCAACAACTTTAATCCCGACAGTTGGCATGTGTAGGCTTGTTGACCGAAAAACAATTTGTACTCGACAGTTGGGTTGACCGATCTGGTTACAACCGCGATATCTCAACAGCTGAATTCCCCATTACCCAACCTGTCGAGTCGAGACGTGACAACTATTTTTGTCGCTCAACAAGCCTACACATACACACCAGTCATCGTTCCTAATCTTGTTCGTCAAGACAGTTGAGTGGTTTAGTCGAAACAAGCGTAGACGGTTTTAACAAAGGCAGTAGGACACATGACAAAAGAGTGGTCCGACAACAATTAATAGTTAAGGCTAAAAACCAAAATGAAACAGGCATGAACCTATAAAATTATTATAAATTAATAAAATTAAAGAAGAATAAGAAATACACAAGATATTCATTGCTAATAGGCTAAAAATTTCAATAAAGAATTACTTAGATGTCTCAAACTGGAAAAGAATATGTAAAATATTTAGAATATACTTGTAGACGTAGGTATGAAAGATTGATATACAGGTGGTTGGATCTGATTTCATAAAAACCAAAACAAATACCAGCCGCACCTACGTAATTAATAAGGATCCAGAACCTATGCATTTCGTATGTAAATAAACTATTTAATAATAGCTGGTATTCTTTAAGTCATCATCTATAACAATTTTTAAGACTTAAGTAGATAATGTAGGTTAGATCAAAATATATTTATTTGATTGAACTGTACCTACACATTAATAAAATAAAAATTAAACGATATAATAAACATTTTTATCGTCAGTAGAGTCTTTTTCTTCTTAGCCTACTTCTTCTTCGTCTTCTTCTATCAAATATTGACAACAATTTTGGAATTTTTTTTCTGATTTGAGTCTTTCTCAGCAAATCGTTTGGGACCAAAATGTCCAATATTGTGTGTTTTTTTGCCTTGGGAACACTCTCTGATCTTACTCTTTATTGCCCTCTATTATGAGTGAAAGAAAGTGGTATCTATTATAGATTATAAGCTACATTGTTAGATTTGCAGCTTTCTCTTTTAAATATGATCTCTCTTAAAAGATGATGATGATGATGATGATGATGATGATGATGATGATGATGATGATGATGATGATTATGATGATGATGACGATGATGATGATGAGAGTATGCTGGACATGGAAACGAGTCCATTTGCCAAAAATGTTTGAATGATTTATGTTTATAAATTGAAGCTTGTTTCTAACAGTTAAAGTAATGTTTAATTCTTACACTTGTGCAAATAGTCTAGTTGATCACAATATAATTATTTCTAATAAATTTATTGCCTATATTCCGAATTTCTTAATTTACAAAAAAGGAATAATTAGACAGGAAGATACTTGCTTGGATGAAAATTATATGATAAATGATATTATATCCGACCAAAAAATAATCGAGGAGGAGGATAACGTATGAAAAGAAGAATAGAAAGCAGATAATGAAACTATTTTTGTTCCTAGACAAATGGTAATTTTAACATTTGAAGGATATAGCACTCCTCAATATATTACGTTAGATTTGGCAATATTTTCAGTTGATCAATACATATACCCACTGGTACAGCGTTTAAATTGTTTTAAATTCGGTCATACGCTTAGACAGTGTATGGTCACTTCCACGCAGCGTATGCCAAAATTGTGGCAAATAACACGAAGGCAACTCCTGTTGTTCGCTGTAGTAACTCACAATATTGTTTTCTGTAAAACAAACGGTAACACGACTTTAACGAAACAATGCCCAGCTTATCAAGATCAATATAATATAAAAGAAATAATGGTGATTTAAAATACCACATTTAAAGAAGCTGAGTATATAGCAAAAAAATCCATTTTATGCCAAAATTACGACACATAATAAATTTAAATTGCTTAGTAACTTAAATCGTTTTCCTTAACTCCCGACTGTGGCAAATGAGAGAAAAGTAAAAAATTCATACGTTTCTAAACTTAAACAAAGTTTGAGTTCTCTTAAACGAAAAGCCATATTATCCACTCAAAGTAAAACTGCCTTACAATATCCCTCAACTTCTAAAACAAAAAAAATCAGTGTCACATCCTATACTTCCTAAACCATATCAGAATAAGTTTATGGCATATAAAGAAAAAACACAAATACAAAGTATAAAAGAAATTCCATCCATTTTAAAAAGAATATTTTAACAAATTGACCCCAAACTAGTCACGATTGAATTACAAAATCTCCCTCAAACTGAAATCAGAAACATACTTTCTTGTCTATCGGACAACGATAGCGATGGGGAATCATAGAACAATTAATATTATTCAGTGGAACTGTCAATCTATTATAAAATAGAAGACTAATTTGCTTAATTTTCTAGAAAGTCATACAATTGATGTCATTCTTCTAAACGAAACTTCGTTGTTACAAAATAAAAATTTATATATTAAACGATTTAATAATGTTAAAGTTAATTGACATGACGGCTGTGGAGGCATTGGTGTTTTAGTTGCAAAGACAATTTCCTTTTCAGATATAAAATTCAAAAGAACTTTTAATTCAAACATACCTAGAGGTCCTAGGTATATTATCCTAGGAAAATTATCAATATTATGTGTTTACAAACCTATTTAAATATATATTATATATATATATATATATATATATATATATATATATATATATATATATATATATATATATATATATCTCATCCAAAGATTGGGAAAACTTATTTGAAGAAATTAAAAGCAGAGTTTTAATTGATGGTGACTTTTAGTAGTCATCACTGTAGATGGAGTTTCCTAGAGAATAGTTCACAAGGTAATATTCTATCTGACGTTTTAGACAATACTAATCTAATTTTACTTAATGACGGAATACCAACCAAAATATCCAGACCAAACGAACGTCCTTCAATGATAAACTTAACATTACTAACTCCTCATTTAACAGGATCTTAAGTAGTTGTGTCTTTTAAAACTTGACGATTTGCCCTGAAGACTTCTTTGTAAGCCAAAAGTGCTCAGTTAGGAAATAAATGTTTACACACTTAAAATATACATTTTTTTTCCAGTTTTTGATTTTCCATTCTTTGAATGGAAATAGTTGGGCTGATGCAAATGTCTAATAAACAGCAACTGAAAAATTATCTCTTAAAGATAATGAAAAGGCACAATGATTCATGTGAAGAAAAAAATGAAAATGTATTAGTAATTCTTAAAGACGCGAAAAATGAAAAAAAAAATATATATTAGATAAGCTGCATTTGTCTCGTTAAATAAAACATATTGCGTTGCAGGTTTGTGTGTAGAATTTAGGCAACTTGTTTACTTATTTTAAAAGACAACAGTTTCTAAACAAAAAAAAATTAAGTTAAGTAAACAAAAATGTAAACATTAGATGGCATTTATATAATAAAAACAATTTTTATATGCAGTACGAAATAATTGAAAATAAAATACCAATTAAAAATAATAGTACACCATTAATAAACAAAAATTTTAAAAATGTATATAATATATATATTTCAAAAATATACCACCCGCACAAACTGTAAACATCTTTTGACTAATCTTTGTATTGCCCAATAATATTTAACAGCTAAAATTACTTACCTGTAGTGATGATTTTTAAATTAGTAAAAATCAGTAAAGAAAACAAAGTTTTAATAAATTTCACTTGATAATCCATGTCCGGCAATTCCTGTTTCAAAACTAATATGGAATAATAACTCGCCAACTAAATCAGCAATGAAAACTTTGACCTTCCACTAAAAAAATCATCATACATGCGTAACACTGTATTTCCGTTTTATACCGTACAACATGGACTTAGAGCAATTATTAATTATTATTACAGAATCATCAATATACATAAAATGTATTGCAATTTGCTTCCGCGATGTGTAAATGATTGTTTTGCTATAAATATTGAGATTATATAATCATTGTGTTCATGTACCACTATAACACATTTTAAACTAGACCCTATTGTTATCAGTCGAGTCTATTGCAAAAATGTGTTAATTAGCAAAGTATATTGTTTGAATATTTTATTTCCATTTAATCAATAAAATTAATAAAAAATTATACTAATAAAAAGAAATGACCGAAGTTTTATGATACAGATTTGGGAATCCAGTGATATGTTATTTTAACTCAAAAATAATTCAGTGCTTCAATGTAATGTTCATTGTTTGAAATTTTAAGTAAAATGGAAACAATGCTACATTAATTTATATTCAGTTCTTGTTCCGCAGCAGTCTAAAATAATAGGCTGAATAACTTCCTCACACATGCTGCTTTTTTCGATCGATACTTTAGCTTGGCGGCGCACCTGTTGGTCTGTGAATAAATGCAGCTAAAGCTGCAACTTGGTCTACAGAAAAGTAATGACTAATTTCAATTTAGCACTAAGCTTCTTAGTGCTGGGAACTTTCGTTCCGAAAAACGAAGTTTTTTAATATTTTCGGTGTTTTTGTTTGCTACTGAGTATTGAATTCTCTATCATAATTTTAAAATAATACTTTTTAATACAAACTGGTTAGATATCTCTAAGCTAATTTTTATTTCACAAATTAAAAAGCAATATTTACAAATTCGTCAGTTATCTGTATACCTACTCCAATCATACAACGTTTTAAACTCTAGTGGAAAGAATTGCATTATTTGTCTCCCTTTTCTTTGTTAAACTCCTTTATCAATAAATAAAAAGGAGTTTTGTTTTCCTGGCACATATTTAATTATTTTTTATATCATATGATTGTAACGACAAAGTCCATCTAGCGAGTCTTCCTGCTGGTGACTTTAATGACATTAGTCAGTGTGAGGGCTGGTGATCACTTTAAACAATGACAGGGGGTGGTTATATTCCTCCACGAAATTTAAAAAAATCCCATAGAACCGCTAGAGCCTTACGTTCTGTTGTATGGTAATTATTCTGATAATAAGTCAGTACCCAACTTGCATATTCTACAAGTCTTTCTTCATGATCGATCCTCCCTACTCTAAAGCTGCTCCTAATGCATATGAACTAGCGTTTTAATTCGGCGAAGGCATTTTCTTGGGAGAAACCCCATTCTCAAGTAGATCTCTTGCAAGTAAGTCGGCTTAAAGGTCTGGATATTACTGCAAAATTTGGCACAAGAAGATATTATTATAAGGTCATTCAAATAAGCAATCATAGAGACATGTGGCAAGCCTGATTTAAACGTTCAATAAGCTATTAAAATATAGTTGGTGCTGTCCTTAATCCAAGACGTATAGCATTATACCTTTATGAACCAAAAGGAGTGATAAACGATGTTTTATCTCTGTCTTCCTTATTCACTGGTATCTGGTGATATGAACTAGCGTTTTAATTCGGCGAAGGCATTTTCTTGGGAGAAACCCTATTCCCAAGTAGATCTCTTGCAAGTAAGTCGGCTTAAAGGTCTGGACATTTCTGCAAAATTTGACATAAACCTTAGGAGATATTATTATAACGTCATTCAAATAAGCAATCATAGAGACATGTGGCAAGCCTGATTTAAACGCTCAATAAGCTATTAAAATATAGTTGGTGCTGTCCTTAATCCAAGACGTATAGCATTTTACCTTTATGAACTAAACGAAGTGATAAACGATGTTTTATCTCTGTCTTCCTTCTTCACTGGTATCTGGTGATATCCACTTTTTAAATGTAATGTGGTAATGAAAACTACCGTGGCAGTCAAATGAAGTAAATTATCAATTCTAGGTAATAGATATTGAAACGGAACAGGTATTGTGTTCAAACGCCTAGAATCAACACAATGTCATATATTTTTACAGGTTTTGGAATTAACACCACCGGAAATGCATAAGAGGACTTAGATTTTCTAATAATTTCATCTTTTAAAAAATCATCTAGTAAAGAACTCAGACTTTCTTTCCGAGCAGGTGCAAGATGATAAGAGGTTGCAAAAATTGGATTATCATCTGTTAACTAGGCACTATGTTTAGCATATAGGGTTTGTTCCTTACTATTTTTAAAAACTGCAAATTTTTTTGAATTGACTGCTCTTATTAAAGTCTTTCATTAAGATTTTAATTATTACCATACGTAGGCTTAAGCTGTAGTTCTGTCTAAGAAATTGCACAAAAGTTATCTTGAATCTGCCCCTTAGAAAAATAAAAAGTTTGTAAGGGATCACCCTTAAATAATCACTGCCATTCGGGTATATTTAACACCATTTGAGCGTCTGAAATAAAATATATATCAAATAGTGTTTTACTAATTTCGTGCTCAGTTATTGGAAGGAAATTAGTTATTAATTTTCCTCCTTGTAGTTCTACAATACCATTATAAGTTTTAGCTTCTACTTAACGTAAATGTCCATCTGCTGTCATATGAATGATATATGTCCTACAATTTCTAGCTCCAGAATCGATATACACCCATGCCTTCGATCAATATTAACTTTGACCGAAGGTCTAGACATAAGGTATACTGCACAAACATCTATCAAAAGCAAATCTAGACTTGAAGTGGTAGTGGTAGTAGCTGAATTGCTCAGCTGAGGACTTATTGCTCGATCTGTGACAAGTAGAATATTGGAACCCTTATAACCAGGTGCTCCGCATCCATAGCATGTAACTCCATGTCTATTCGAAACTTGAAAAGAGCTGAAATAAATTATTTGTTGAGTTATGGTGAATTTACCACAATTATCTTAAATGTGTCAAAAATTATTGCAAAACTGATATTTCGGTCTTGATCTGGTAGATTTGATATCATCAGTTCCAGAAGGTTTATGTCCAACCAATGTATTACCTTCAGTATCTTCAATTGCTCTTGCTTTTTCTATAAGATCAGCAAAATATTGTATTTAATTTCCCTGAAGTCTATTTCTAATTCTACGATTGAGTAATGCATATATCATATTAATTTTTTGAGTAATGTATAGCTCAGGTGGTTTTGGCAACCTAGCAATGAAAACATGAAAATGATTAATAAAAATATCTGTTGGTTCTCTATCACCCTGCTTACGGGAAGCAGTTCTTTAAAAAAATTATATGGTTGCATGTTTAAACCATAAGATTATCTTAAAAACTTTAAAACATCATCCCAACTAAAGATTGTGTTTAAATATCTTGCCACCAAGTTGCAGCATGATGATCTAATAACATCGGCCAAACTTTTATCGCATTTTCATCTGAAATGTTAACACAGTCTTTAAAATATTAATGGCACTTATAAATGCTTCCACATGTTTATTTCTATTACCAGGAATGCTGTAAGAACAATTAATTTTTAAAGTTTCCACTTTTAGCAGGACTTCGGGCCTGATTTTGGACAACACCTAGTCATGCTAGCAATTAAAGTTTGAAATTGCTCGTTGGTCATCATTATAAGAGCATATGGAACAGCAGTTTCATCTTCATGCATTGTTGTAGATGATAATCTATTACAAAATCGTTGGTTAATTATTCTGAGCTCAGTTTTGAAATTTCGGTGAACTTAGAAGCATTTATTAGTTAATACTTGCTCATTAGACGATATCCAAATCACGGGATAGTCCAAACTGATTCATACAGCACAATTAAACCAAAATGTTAAAATCGTATAATAACAAGACAGTTTAAAAGGATATTCAATTGCAATGAGTATACACACTCTTGAATGTGGTAAGGGTAGATAACTTTTATGCACTTAATTCCACAAAACAATAGTCTCACAAGTGTGAGAGTTTTTTTTTATTCACACAAAGATTACTAATTTTTTTGTTAAAAAGATACTATGCTGGACAGATAGGTTAATAAAGCGATTATGACAAGACGGGGGCTCGGGATGCAGCGTGTATGAAGAGAGAGTTACAAGACCTTTGGCTTACATTTTTTTAGGTTTAAATTTGTACAAATAAATAAGGGACCGCCCTGTCATATCCGCTTTATTTATAATTAAAAAATAATGTTTTAAAATTAAATAAGTCTGGAATTTTGATCGGGAGCTGATAGAGGAAGGCACTTGAAACTTAAATTGAATTAAACTTGAATTTAGGCACTTGATGATTTCAAAAATAGGATTTTTTAATTGTGTTTTTGGGTCTTGAAAATCGTCATTATGCTATTTTTAGTATTTAAATTATTTATAACTCAAAAACGATCAAATTTAGAGAAAACTTACCATAAGTCCCTTTTTCTTCATGATGATCCAAACAATCAAAAAATTTTCTAGGTGGAAAAAATATATTTTTACTAACTAAAAACTATTTACTAATGTGTTTACTGGGTACACTTTAAAACTTTTGGCCTGGACCTGGACAACCTCTTTAACGTTATTTTGTGGTAGCTCAGGAAAGTGATTAATACAAAAAAATTGTATGCTGTAAATATAATTGTAAAAACCCATGCTTTTGCCTTGTCTATAACGTAAATTGACATTTTAATATCCATCAGGGACTGAAATTAAATAAATAAAAAGCACATTTACTTATTTAGACATTTACTTTAACAACTATAGCTTATAAAAAATATCCAATGATCAAGTAATAAGTAAAAGGGATATGGGTTCGTTATAGTTTCATTTCAAAATATAAAACACCACATCTTCTGTTGCCTGAATTACAATGGTAAACATTTTAGTCCTCATTTTTTACGTGTAATTTTTACTCATAATGCAAATTTAGAATAATATAGTCTACAATATAGTTAAATGTATTTGATCGGTGGCTTTTAATGGATAGTTTTGATATTT